TTCAAAATGTCATTCTTTTTCTGTTTTCTGTAGTTTACTAATGCAAAAACAACAAAAAGTAATAACCATTATACTAATATCCCACAGATTCTGCTGTGTTCCTGGATGATAAAGTGGAAAAATCTGTTGGTCCGGGGTACAGATGTGCTGTCAAACAGTGGTCCAATGTTTTTAAAGTTAAACAAGTCAGACAAAGCTCAGATTATTTTTTATTCCTCCTCCAACAGGGACACAAGTCATGAAAACAGAAACTCACAGACAAGCTTTGAATATTCTCCTCAGGAAAAGGTCTAAGGAGAAGTATGCGTTAAATTAGGAAAACTCATGAATGGATGCCAGGGCTGGAAATACTCATTTGATTCTTTATATAATTCTTTGACAAGGAAACAATTAATTAGGCTTAATCTACGCAACACTTTAACCCTTTAAAGCCTGCTAAAAACATTTTTAAACATATTTTGAGATTTTTTGCGTTTGTTTTATTTGGTCCTTTATCAAAATGCAAAAAATATATGTACAGAACTCATTTATTACCTTGCAATAAGTCAAAATTAGTGCATTTTATTAGTCCAGTCTTCTGCCTAATGTAATTAGATTTTGTATAACAGGGTTTTAAGCAAAGTTTTTACCAATAAATGTTGCAAAAAGTCTCTAAATATTTCAGAAACCGTTTGTATCAAATATTATACATATAGGGTACATAAAGGGTTAAAGTATTTAAGAACCTCATTGAAAAAAACTTGCCAGGTATCAGAAATGTATGTAAAAAAAAATGTGTCCGAACCAGTTTGAGTTTAATCTTTTACAAGTATACATAGACTTGTACTTGTATTGTTTTATGGTTTTGTTGTAGAGCACTTTGGGAACCTTTTAGCTGTTATAAAGGGCTTTACAAATAAACTTGATTGATTGATTGATTGATTGATTGAATGATCTTTATTTGTTACTTTTCTAGTCTTGCCTCTTTGGAATTATTATTGTTTTGTACTTTGCGTTTCCACTCCCTGTGAGTGCGTCTTGATTTATTTATCTTTAAGTTTTTTTGTATCACAGTTGGAGAGATGCTGCCCTCTGCCAGATCAGAATGTTTCTGTCTGGTTTAACCCTTTAAAGCCTGATCCAAGAATAAAACAAAACGGAAAAACATTATTTTTTTGGTTTGAAGTCTTTATTTGGCCTTTTAACAAAATATGTAAAAAGGAAAAACAGAAATACATTTTTAATATTGATCATTTATTACTATGTGAAAAGTCAAGATTATTTTTTGTGTGGTCTTCTGCCACACAAAATTACTTCATCAATTCATTTTTTTAGTTTTTGAGGTTAAATCCAAATTCTTTAAGTTATGTTACATTACTTATTTTATTAAGATAGTACTTTTCTCATAGTTTTTTCCTGGCTGTTTGGTTTTACAGTGTAGTTTTGGAAAAAAAACAAGTGATCTTTAAAATGAATGATTGAGGATCTTGGAAAACAACCTTTGACAATCCTGTTTTCAAACTCACATTCAAATGGCAGCGAGTGAGAAAAGCCCGGCCAAATATCAGCCAATGTGTTTCTGATTAATAATTCTGCCAACTTAGAAACGGCTCCGACTGAACGAGCTCCAAATGGTTCTCTGGCTTATTTTGCTTTTAGCTGAGCTTAGTTTCAGAACTAGATAATTTACTAGCTGCCAGGTCAGTTTTGTAAAGGTTTTATCAAAGATATAACGGACAGAGGTTGTTTTTTTTTTAGTACAGAGCACAGTTTGGGTGTTCTGGAGCAGCCTGTTTTAACCCTTTAAAGCCTGATCCAAGAATAAAACAAAACAGAAAATTACTTTTTTGTGGTTTGAATTCCTTATTTGGCCTTTTAACAAAATATGTAACAAGAAAAAACAAATTTTTTTTTTTAATATGAATAATTTATTACTATGCGATAAGTCAAGATTATTTTTTGTGTAATCTTCTGCCCCCTGTTATCATGTGTATCTGATTGTGTAAAATAGGATTTTGAGCAAAGTTTTTACCAAGTTGTACCAAGTTTTCAAATTTGGCATTATAGGGTTAAATGGTGTATGCTTTGGTTTACACTGAACCCTCCTTTTACATTTGAATAAGAACTTGTGAAGTGGTAACCTTTATTTTTTTTTACAATTATTATACTTCTAGAGGGGCTGACTCACTTGGGCATAAAATTCTGTGTGTCTGTGTGTTTTTTTTATGATCTCAGACGGGCTGTTACTGTTACTGAAATCTGAACTTCCTGAAAAAGCAATTCCAAGGAATAAATAAAGCTGAGTCTAAAGTCTAAAGTCTATATGATGAAATACTCTACAGAACATTGAAAACTAAGAACAAACCCTTTTTACAGGCCCGAGCATTAGTTTAACAAATAAAAGTACTGTATAAACAAATAACTATTCATCCATCCATTATCATAACCTCTTACTCCATAATGGGGTCATGGGGGGGACTGGAGCTTATAAATAAATAATAATGCTATAATAAAATATAATAAATAAACTAATAATTAATAATAAAGATAATAATAAAGAATGATGGTAGTCCAACCTTGTTAATAAACACGTGTACTAGCTTTTCTGGATCAGGATGCTCCTCGTTTTGGAAACATTTGAAGGGAAAGAAGACAGAAACCGGTTTGATGAGAGTTATTGTTGCATTTACACTGTTTTGTATATAATGTTCAAACATTATAGGTCTCTAATTTATTATTCTTTTCAAGGATAGTTGTTTGATTGGAATTTATGTAAGTTGTATTTGTATTGTATTTGTTTTATACTGTATTGTTCTATTGTTGTATTATTATATAGTGGATTTGCTTTTGTTTTGAAGTTTAGAGAGCACTTTTATTTTGAAGTCCAGAGGGTTCTTGTTTGAGGGGAGAAGCAATGGAACCTTTTTTAAGGATTTTTGCTGAAGTTTAGGCTAAATACGTTGATGGAAAATCTTGAAGATTTTGAATAATTCACTTTTTCTTGCAGCATAAAGCCAACAAGGTATTTTATTTATTTGTTTGTTTGTTTGCTTTGTAAGTATTGTGTCATATGCTCTGCAGGTTATTGTTTGTCTCAATAATATTTGTCTTTGTTAACTTTATTTAATTTTCAGGTGGATTTGGAGATCCCAAAACGACTTCAAATAAACCAGTTAAAGAAAAACCACTTGAGTCTGCTTGTGCTTAATGGGGATTATAATGAGAGTCAGAGGACAGATTCTGTCAGAAACACCTCAAAGTTCCTCAATTTAGGACTAAAAACCAAATCTAAAGGAACTATCTTCTAGAGCAACAAGCAAGCATATGTTTGTTATGCAACTGTAATTATCACTTGAATAAGTTATAATAAATAATGAGTTATTTAACATTAAGGAGTAGTTAAATTTATTTTACATTGCATTCGGTTACATTTAGTTACATTTATAAGTTACATCTTGCCCTTTAAGATCAGCCAATACTGCGTCTAGTTGGAGGGCTCCTACCGGGAAAGTTAGACTTAGACTTCCTCTATTGTCATTGTACAAAAAACACAAGGTGAATCTTGACAACGAAATGTCAAATACTTGGCTACCAGTGTGACAGAGCTAAGGCCTTATTCCTACTTAATAAATATGTTTTCTATATCTAAGATCTAGATATATACAGGGCAAGAGCATATACAGTGGGGGAAATAAGTATTTGACCCCTTGCTGATTTTGCAGGTTTGTCCACTTACAAAGAATGCAACGATCTATAACTTTAATCATATGTACATTCTAACAGTGAAAGACAGAATCCCAAAGAAAATTCCAGAAAATCACATCATATGAATTTATAAAAATTGATAACCATCTGATGAGGAAAAATAAGCATTCTTTTATTTAATTTTATTTGCTTATATCCTGTAATTTTCCAGGGACTTTCGGTGTGTTTTTCTGGTAAGGTTGTGTGTTTACCTTAAACTACAACCTTTTGTTTATCATATCACGCATAAATAAAGTAGTCTAGTACAGTGTTTTTCAACCACTGTGCCTCGGCACACTAGTGATGGTCAGGTGTGCCGTAGAAAATCATCCTATTTCACCTAATTGGTGTAAAAAGATTTTGATAAGGAATTAATTTTCTGCAAATAATATTCCATTTTTGAGTGTCTGTGCTGTACTAGTGACTGGTGGCGTAATCATGTAATAATTCCTTATGACCAGATTTTGTATATTGAAGTGGACATGTTAAGTGCAATTTGAAAGAAGAAATATAAAATATGATAAAAAATACATTTTTGTGTTTATTTGATTCCTATTCAAGACACTTAAGATAAGATAAGAATAACTATAGTCTTACTATAGGCGGCTACAGATTTGTTTAACATTTTTGGTTGGTGGTGTGCCTCCTTTTTTATCGCTGATTAAAAATCATGAAATGTCATACATTCTGGATTCATTACAAATCAACTGAAATATCGCATTGTTTTAATATCGCTGATTATGGCTTATCGGATTTTTTAGTTTTCTTCAGCCGTACGCCATAATCAGCGATATTAAAACAATAAAAGGCTTGCGATATTTCAGTTGATTTGTAATGAATCGAGAATGTATGACATTTCGTGATTTTTAATTGCATTACAGAAAATAAAGAGCTTTATCACAATATTCTAATTTTCTGAGACAGTCCTGTACACATCCCTCCCTGCAGGGCCTTTTGGACGTCCAAACTCCACGAGCTTCCCGGTAGTTGTTGCTTCCGGCCGCCTCGTGCCCTCGGTGACGTCATCGAGTCCGCCTCCAACTCCAACTCCAAACTCTGCCCCCTTTTTTTTTTTTTCTTCTCTCTCCGTGCGCGAGCCCGACGGTTCCCAAAGTGTAAAGTAGTGGTGGTGGGAGGGGGGGGAGAGAGAAGAAGAGAAGAAGAGAAGAAGAAGAAGAAGAAGAGAAGAAGGAGAAAAAAAAAAAAAAAGGAAAAAAGAAAAGTCCTTCAGAAAAAGCCCCCGAACAGCGGAGCCCGGATCCCGGGGAAGTTCGCCTTTACGCACCGGGGACGCGGGTCTGGATCTTCTGGATCCGGAGAATGGAGACGGAGCCCCGGGTCTAAGG